CCCTCTCTTCCCCTCTCTTCCCCTCTCTTCCCCTCTCTTCCCCTCTCTTCCCCATCCTCCACTCCCAACCGCACAAACCCCCAATCCTCGCCACAGGACTGCATTGCTCAGCACCTGGCGGACCTCACCGCAGACGAGGCCTCCGCCATCGCCATCCGCGACGCCGTCGAGCGCATCGCCGCCGCCTCCAAGGCCGCCGCCGCCGCTGCCACCGGCGGCGCCACAGCCAACCCCCGCGCCTCCGCCTCCGTGTTTGACGCCGCAGCCGCAGCCGCAGCCGCCGCACGCGCTGCTGCCGCCGCCGCCTCGCATGAACCGCCACCCATCATCCTCCTTCGCCACAAGTACGCGCGTCCCGTACGGGTCTCTGTACGGCTCCAACACGTCGGCGTCGGCTCCGAAGTCCTGCTGTGTGCGACACTCACGCGGACCGACCCGCCGGATAGTCTCGTACTTGTCGACGGACGCGGCCGCATCGGCTTCATCACATCAGAGCTGGCGGAGGCGCTGGGTGCGACGCCGGAGGGCCTTGCACGTCAGCCCATAGCCGACTTGCTACCTCAGCCCTGGAACGCCCTCCACGCCAACGGCGGCGGCGGCTGGCTGCGTGAAGCCGAGGCGTCGATGGGCGGCCTTGGATCCGAAATCCAAGGCGATCATCAGACGCATCCGCCGCCGGGGCTCGAGGGCGTGTTGGGCATGCACCACCTGATGCACGCCAGCGGCTTTGGCGGCGGCGGCGACTCGTCGTCAGCGGCGCCGTCGCAGCACCATCGGGTGAGCCAGTTGCAGGTCATGCAAGCTAGCGGGAGCACGAGCGGCGGCGGCGGCGGCGGCGGCAGGCCGGGCGGCGGTAGGGCCAGCGGCGGAGGTGGCCGGGGGGGAGGTGGCAACGGCACCGGCAGCAACGGCGCCGGGGGGTACGGCAGTGTGACGACGGCTCCGCCGGGTAGCTGCCTGGCGGGTGCTACAGTTGTCCTTGGATCCAGTTCCAAGGTGCAGGATTATTATAGAGTCGAGGTAAGGAGTTGTACGTGTGTACGTATGTAAGTTTGTTTGTGCGCTGAATATGGTAGGGAGAAGCTGTGTACATCATCCCCACTTATTTCCCCCCACTCCCCTCTAAAACACCCTTTCCCTTGCTCCTCCTTCCTCGTGGCTCAAACGCACACACAGACACACATACACACACACAGACTCGCACAGACTCGCACAGACACACATACACACACAGACTCGCACATACACACACGTACACACATGCACACACGACCCTCGCAGGTCCAAACCCCGTGCACGGATGCTTAACCTAGTTCCTCCTCTCGTCCACCTCTCCCCCATCTTTCCTCTCTTTCCACCCCCCGAATTCTCAATGGCCCCCCTTCCCCACCTGCCTCGTAGGTCAGTCGGCGGGGTGAGACGGTTACCGGGCAGCCCATGCGCGTGGTCATGGTCCGGAAGAGCTCTCTGGCAGCGGCGCTGAGTGAGCGGCGGCTGGCGGTGGTGGTGGATGCGGCCACGGGAACGGTGTTGGAGGCGGGAGACTCGCCGGCGGTGAGTGGGGTAGTTGCGGAGCTTGTGTGTGTGTGTGTGTGTGTGTGTGTGTATATGAGGAGGGCCGGGTTTCCGGGGAATAGCTTTGGGTTATGAGATAGGGGAGTGGAGGCCTCCACGTGAACCCAAGAGAGTGTAGAAAGCGCGTACGGCATGTACCGGTGGGGTGAGTGGCTGGGGGGAGATGGAGGCAAGAAGGGGGAATGGTGGGAAGGATGACGGCCCAAACCACCGAAATGTTTACCGCAGGTGGTTGAAAGTTGGTTAACTAATAACCGCCAACCCCCGATTTCCAACTGCTCCATGCAGTCGTTGTTTGGTTTCAAGCCCGCAGCCCTCGTGGGCAGAAACATCGCGGATGTGGTTTCAGCGTTGCGGCCTCCAACCGTTTCACCGTCATCATCGGCAAATTCATCATCGTCAGCAGTAGCGGCAGCGGCAGCAGCAGCAGCAGGAGCAGCAGCAGTAGCGAGTAGGAACAGTCGATCCCAGGCAATGGAGCAGAGCACGAGAGAAGGGTGTGGCGGCGCAGCAACCGGCGATGGCAACGTCGACGGCGGCGGCGGTCCCGCTGCCGACGGCGGAGCCCAGCCCGCCGGAGCGGCCGGCGTCGGCGTCGGCGTCGGCGTTGACTGTGCGACACCGCCGTTGGCGCCCACTTCTTCCCTGGGGCCAATGACTACCACGCAACTGCTTTGTCAGTTGGCGGTTGCATCCATGGCGGTTGGCGGAACGAGTTGGTATGTTTGCCACGTGTCTGTCTGTCTGTCCGTCGGTATGTATTTTTTAATGTGACTTAGCTCAAATGGTAACTTGTGGAGTCGTTCACACACATGATACACCAATATTAAGGATACCATTATTATTATTATTATTGTTATTATTATTATTATTATTATTATTGTTATTGTTATTATTATTATTATTATTATTATTATTATCATCATCATCATTATTCCACTTACATTTCCACTCCGCCATAACGCATTCGATTGCTTTTTCCATGCCAGTAGAAAACAGTGTCCCCTTTTTCAGCTGCAGTCAAAATGTATCCCTTATCATACGCTCTTGAAAAAGGCCATGCAGCTGATTTCCTATCAACCATAATGCATAAGCTGTCGTACTGTACTGTGCCGTACCTTGTCGTACTGTACTCCCAGGCGAGTGGGCGTTACGCCGCCCATGGACGAGCGCAACTTGGAGGTGTTGGGTCTCCTACGGGGTGCCTTCATCAGCCGTCAAACCCGGCCCGCCGTGATGGAGGTGGATGTGCTCGTACCCGGCGGCGAAGCCGACGACCCCGGATTTCAGCGCCACGAAAGCGCGCCCATCGTTGAGCCTGGCGGAGCCGTGTCCCTGGCGGCGGCGGCAGCGGCAGCGGTAGCCGAAACCAACGGCGGCGGCGGCGGCCTCGCCTCCAGCCCCGGCGTCGCCGACGCCAATCGTACGGCAACCAAGTCCATGCTGTACGGCCCAACATTTAAGGAGATGCATGAGCGGGGTTTGTTGTCGGTCGAGGCGGCGGCGACGATTGAGGCGGGGTTGACGGCACTGACGGGCGGCGGCGGCGGCGGCCGCAGCTGGGGGCCGGCGCAGGCGTGGCCCGCTGGGGATATGGCCTCTAAGGCAGCAACGCTGCGGCTTCGAGTTAACCTGTGGCGGGCTGAGGTTCTTGGCGGTGTGCTTGAGGTTGACGGGCAGGGCGAGGTCGTCAACGTGGCCCATGCCAAGTTGCACCAGACAGGTTTGGGGGGAGCTGGGGATCTGGGGGATGGAGCGGCGGCGTGATCAGATACCCGCGTATGAAGTATAGCAGTGAACGCCAGGGAATTGGATGCGGCGAAGGTGAAGATGAAGGTGAAGGAAAAGGGAGAAGGCGTAAACGAAGGCAAGCTTGATAGGGATAGAGGGGACTCAGTAGTTGGGGACTCAGCATCGACACCCGACGATTTGCGGCAGACGGATCCCCGATGAACGAAACGGTCATGCGAGCTACTGCTGCGGCCCGCATTTCGAGCTTACCTTACCTTTACGTCCCTCTCCTCGCTCCCTCTCCCGCCCGGCCTTGGCCCGGCCCTCGTCGCGGCCGACGCAGGCTTACTTTTCGGACTCAACACCAACCAACTTCCCCGCATGAGGTTGAGTCGCCTGCTGAATATGCCGGTCGGGGACACGACGGGAGCTGAATCGCAGGGCTCCGTAACAGCCGCCCTCTTCAATCCGCCCGCGGGCGGCGCCGGCGGCAGCAGCGCCAGTGGTGCCGGCGGCGCCGGCGGCGCGGCCAGCCAGACGGCGGGCAAGGGCGCCGGCGGCGCCGGCGTC